GGTTCAAATATAATATGTTCTCTAGCTGTGTTTTCTTTTTCTCATGTACATGGCCATTCTGACACCCCGATATAGGAAATCTGTCTTATCTAATATTTTTCTTAGAGATATCCTTCCTAGCAACCTCTGTTCTCTCTCCCCGGATGGGTTCCTCTCTAGGCTTGCAGTACAGTTTTAATCCTGGAAACTGCCCTTCAGTGCCACCCAAGAAATTGACTCTCCCCTTTCTGTTTTGTGTAGCTTGTGGCCTCCTCTTTCTTGGTTTACTCCCTGGTTTTGATGGAGCCTGTCTCTCAGTAGCTTCCTGAAATGTGATGTAAGGGAGGTAAATTTTTGTAGGCTTTACATGTTTGAAAATGTCTTCCTTCTACTGATTTGATTGATTGTTTGGCTCAATGTGGAATTTTGAGTCAGAAGTTACTTACGAGTTTTGAAAATATTACTTAGTTGTTTTCTACCTTCCAGTGTTGCTCTACCTTTGAGGCAAGTTGAAGGCCATTCTTTTTCTTGATCTTTCATAGATGACCGACCTGCCTTTTACTTCCTCCTGGAAGGTTATAGAATCTCGCACCATGTTTCACAGTGACGAGATGTGGTGTGGCCTGTCGTCATTCACATGCTGGCTTTTCAGTGAGCACCTTCTCTCTGGACATGCGTGCCTCTCTGGGGGGAGGTTCTCTGGAATTTCTTCTTTGATTTCCTTCTATTTCTCTGTTTTTCTAAGATTTTTGAATTTGTCTGTTGGGGTTCTGGATGAGACCTCTGCTTTTCTTGATTTCCATTTCTTAGTCTTTTTGCTTTGCTTGATGGAAGATTTCTTAAACTTTATCTTTCAACTCTTCTTTTTATTATTAATTAATTTTGAGAGAGAGAGAGAGAGAGAGAGAGAGAGAGAGACAGACACACACAGACAGACATTGATTTGATGTGCCCTGACCAGAGATCAAACCCAAAAACTTGGTGTTATCGGGTCGATGCTCTAACCAACTGAGTGACCTGGTCAGGGCTTTCATACCTTTTTTTGAGTTTTCAATTTTTAATATCATAGTTTTAATATCCAGAACTATTTCTGTTCTGAGGAGTTTTGAAAATATTACTTAGTTGTTTTCTACCTTCCAGTGTTGCTCTACCTTTGAGGCAAGTTGAAGGCCATTCTTTTTCTTGATCTTTCATAGATGACCGACCTGCCTCTTACTTCCTCCTGGAAGGTTATAGAATCTCGCACCACGTTTCACAGTGACGAGCTATGGTGTGGCCTGTCATTCACATGCTGGCTTTTTAGTGAGCACCTTCTCTCTGGACATGCGTGCCTCTCTGTGGGGAGGTTCTCTGGAATTTCTTCTTTGATTTCCTTCTGTTTCTCTGTTTTCTTTTTCTAAGATTTTTGAATTTGTCTGTTGGGGTTCTGGATGAGACCTCTGCTTTTCTTGATTTCCATTTCTTAGTCTTTTTGCTTTGCTTGCTGGAAGATTTCTTAAACTTTATCTTTCAACTCTTCTTTTTATTATTAATTAATTTTGAGAGAGAGAGAGAGAGAGAGAGAGAGAGAGAGACAGACACACACAGACAGACATTGATTTGATGTGCCCTGACCAGAGATCAAACCCAAAAACTTGGTGTTATCGGGTCGATGCTCTAACCAACTGAGTGACCTGGTCAGGGCTTTCATACCTTTTTTTGAGTTTTCAATTTTTAATATCATAGTTTTAATATCCAGAACTATTTCTGTTCTGAGTATTTTGGTTTTAATAAACATATTATTCTTATTTTAAGGATGCAATAGTGTTTCTTTTTTTAATTTATTGATTTCAAAGAGGGAGGGAGAGAGAGAGAGAAACATCAGTGATAAGAGAGAATCATTGATTGGCTGCCTGTGGCATGCCCCCTACTGGGGATCGAGCCTGCAACCCAGGCATGTGCCCTGACCTGGAATCGAACTGTGACCTTCTTGTTCATAGTTCAGTGCTCAACCACGGAGCCACATGGGCCGGGCACAATAGTTTTTCTTGTCAGAGGATGTTAATTATCCCTTCGTTTTGGGAAGTTTTCTTCTCACTTAATCTATTTTTCCCAAATTGCTTGCTTTGTCTGTCTTGGTCTCTAGCTTTCATATCTTTAGATGTCTTGTTATTCTTGGTTGGTTGCTTATATTTAAGAATGGGAGACTAAAAGAACAAGCTGATTGAAGCTCTGAGTGTGTTGGTGGGGCTTGTCAACCTTGAACTTCCATATAGGGTGGATCTGGCTGGTCTTTGTTGGGGACACCTAGTCCATATTTTTATGTGTTTCTTCTTTTATGATGGCGAACCTATGACACGCGTGTCAGAGGTGACACACAAACTCATTTTTTGGGTTGATTTTTCTTTGTGTTCTCAGGCCCCAGACCAGCAAAGGCAGGTGCCAGTGGGGGCCCTCTGATTGCCCTGCTGGTTGCCCCACAGACCAGCCCTGATCATCGGCCAGGCCTAGCGACCCTACCCTTGCACGAATTTCGTGCACTGGGCCTCTAGTATAATACATAGTAACCATTAACATATTATTTAACATATAAGAACTGTATATGTTAGCATTAAAATAAAATATTTTAGCATTCAAAATCACAGCTAGTTGATATCCGTTTATAAATCTTTAGTTCTTTAATGAAGTCAACTTGTTAAATGATCAATTGTGTCAAAAAAAAAAAAAAAAAAGGGAATATGGTCTTCCGTACTCTTTTTCAACCCCATTGTTAATTTTGAAATCCCATTTGACCCACTCTCAAGTCACCATTATTTCAATATTTAGAAGAGCAATTGCGGTTAAAGGACAACTTCGATCAATTGCTTAATAAATTAATAGGCTATTACAGTAAATATGCACACAGTTTGATGGTATTCTCCACAGCTCCCACTTCACCGAGATGTTGAAGGATCAGCACTGGCACCGCAGCATGTGCTCGGAGCGATTTCATCACTGTCTCCACAGCAGCTTCACGCTGCACAGGGATTCCCTCCGCTCTGAGGAATAACAGACTTAAAGTGACCGGCGTGCCCAGCCCGGAAGCCAGAGTGAATGAACACTCACGGTAACGGTAACGCACTGTGACTCAGAAACAACAAACTGAGAAAACTTTAACTTCTCTACGTAAGAAATATACACATCTGAGATAGAACAGCTCATGACACAGAGATCTGTTAAAACAGAACAAACAAAAATGTTACCAAGCATGGGATACCAAGCATTGTCCTAGCTACTGAACAGCGACCCCTGGCAGTGAAAAACCAAGAAAAACTCTTTGCCCTCATGGAGCTTATCATAAACCATAAGTAAACAGAAATAAAATGAGCCCTATGCCAGGAGTTGATTACTTTTATGAAGGCAATAACAGGTTAAGGGCATAAAGAGCAACCAGGTGTGGGAGTCCTATTTTATAAAAGAGAAATCAGGAAGGATCTCTCTGGGAAGGTGATATAGAACAGAAACCTGAAGAACATGGCATCAGCAAAATGTACATCTAGGACAGTGATGGCAAACCTATGACACGCGTGTCAGAGGTGACATGCGAACTCATTTTTTAGGTTGATTTTTCTTTGTTAAATGGCATTGAAATATATAAAATTAATATCAAAAATATGTCTTTGTTTTACTATGGTTGCAAATATCAAAAAATTTCTATACGTGACACGGCACCAGAGTTAAGTTAGGGTTTTTCAAAATGCTGACACGCCGAGCTCAAAAGGTTCGCCATCACTGGCTTATCATAAGAAGTCTCTTCTAGTCCCTTGCCTGGAGAGTAGAGGCAAGGGCTGGGTCTCACATTCCATATGCAAACCATGTTTTGGACACTGCATGCATTCCTTCACCAGTCCCGTGTCCTCCGGCCAGGGGTCTTGTGTGTTTCCCTCTCTGGAGGGTAAATTTCATCTTATGTAGGGGAGGGGAAGAGACAGTTGTCCTGAGCTGTGGAGTGGAGGAGCTGAGGGCACGACCTAAAGTTCAACAACAAATCTTTTTGTTTTAACTATTTCTCTTCCAACTCTAATTGCTCCCTACCTGCTGCTGCCAATTCTTAGCTTTCTTCACTGTCAGCTTAGATTTACTTGTCTTTAATCTGCTGAGTTAGTTCTAGACCCTATTCTGAATTGTAGCTTATAGAATGTTGTCTCCTTTCCTGTTTATCCTAGCAGGTTTATGTCTTTAAAAAAACAACAACAAAACCACTTTGATGTTAGTGAGTTGTCAAAAGAAAGAGAAAACAATCAAATACAGTTAAGTTCTTTATTTTGACCCAGAAGCTGCAAATTTTTAAGACATACATTTGAGATGACCCTTTCCCTTTATTCATAAGCATTGTTCATCCCGACTGCCTTTTATGACACACAGAGTGGTAGGAACCAGACAGTTTATTGTATGATGGGGCCCTTTATGGGAGGATCAGCGAACCAGTAGCGGTGAGAAGCCATTTGATTCGGGCACAGAGCTTAGGTATTTTATTTTATGGAAGCATCATACTGACCCAGGAGATAGGTGTTCTCAGTTTCATCTGACATAAGAGGAAACTGAGTCAAAAGAAGTTATGTAACTTGAGCAAGGTCACAAAGGTAGCAGCAATGCAGGTATATCTGACTTCAGAAACTGCCTACAACACCAAAAGGAAAGACATTTTCCCATTACTTCATGAAGAAATAAAACAAAGCAAAAGACACTTAAAGCCTTAAAGTATTACTCTGGACAGTGGTTCTCAACCTTCTGGCCCTTTAAATACAGTTCCTCATGTTGTGACCCAACCATAAAATTATTTTCGTTGCTACTTCATAACTGTAATGTTGCTACTGTTATGAATCGTCATGTAAATATCTGATATGCAGGATGGTCTTAGGTGACCCCTGTGAAAGGGTCGTTCGACCGCCAAAGGGGTCGCGACCCACAGGTTGAGAACCGCTGCTCTAGGATTAACTGTCAGTGGTCTCTCAGCTTAGCTCATGAGTTAATATTTAGTATGTTTTGGACTTACCTTCCAGTCGATTTCTGAGCACGAATTTAAGGAGCACATGAAGCTCGAGGCGGTGAACCCCCTCCTCCCCGAGGAAGTGTGCGTGGCCACCGTCAGCGCCGTGCGCGGCTCCTACCTGTGGCTCCAGCTGGAGGGTGAGTGCCAGGGCCCCGAGAAGCCTTCTGGGGCCGCTCTTCTCCGCCTTTTCTGTTCACCCTTGTAGTGCTGTTTGTTAAACTTAATCGATTAGCTGAAGAGGACTCTTGTTCAGAGACTTCTAATTTATAATGTGAGATCCTAAGGTAAGAATTTCTTTTCTTGTTCTTGACTTTCACATTTTAGGAAATGAATGTAAATAAAAAGCCTTTATTACAGAGTCCCATGTTTTCTTGAAGGGAAAAGAATAAATCAAATAGCATATATTTTGATTTGACCAAAATATAAGGGCACGGGCATTAACAGCTAACTCATTCAAGAGATAATATTTTGGTTGTCCCCATCCATTAGAACCAAAAAATATGTAAAATAAAAGAGATATATTATACTAAAAGTAATAGTCAACAGTTGGACAGGTTTGTAGACAGAAGCACAGGGCGCGTACTCAGCTCTGCAGTTACTGTGTGTGGCCTGGGTTTCGTTTTTATTTGGCTGCCAAATAGACTCAGTACTTTCTGTTTCCAGTTTGTAGAATTGGCATTTGATACAGATATCAAGGACAGTATTGAATATAAACTTTATTTTTTAACCCCAGCTGAGCAACTTACCTATGCCACTTCCTGATTCGAATTCACTGATCTACCTTTGGCTTGTCCCCTTGTGCCACAACTGATGTTGGATATAATTGTCACTTTTGCCATTTTCCAATGATCTCATGGAGTTGACTGATATTTGTCAACCATCTGAATGATACTGCTGGTAGTTTCAGTTGCTTATTTGCTATTCTCTAAGGGTCACCTATATATTCACCACCCATTTAGGTCTTTATATAGCTATGCATGAGGTTAACTTTTTTTCTTAATGTTTGTCACATGTGAAAAAGTATCACTTCTGTATAAAAGGGATTTGTTTATGAGTCTTTGTTCTGTATACACAGTAGAACATTGATTGTCTAGAAAGTGGTTTATGAAAAAGGGTATTCAATGGCCTAAACATTTTTTTGTAATCTAAGCAGGTTCTAAGAAGCCTATACCTGAATGTATAGTGAGTGTGGACTCCATGGATATATTTCCTTTGGGCTGGTGTGAAACCAATGGCCATCCCCTCAGCACTCCTCGTCGAGCACGAGGTACTTGCCTTTTTCTGGGCCAGAGGGTTGGTTGTTAAGCTGTTGTGTGGCTGCTACCAATTAGGATGAATCTGGACATTTCAGAGAAAAACAAAGTGATATTCTGGTTATCTGTTCATGTATAAGAAATTGTTTATTGTAACAAACGTTTATCATCTTACTGTTTCTGTGGGTCAGGAATCTGGGCACAACTTAGCGGGTCCTCCGGGTCCGTCTCTCACAGCTGCAATCTGGGTGCCAGCCAGGGCTGCAGTCACCGCAGGCCCGACGCGGGGAGGACCTGCTCCCAAGTTGACACAGAGGAGTGTTGGCAGGAACTCATTTCCTCGTGGACTGTTGGACCGAGGACCTCCGTTTCTTGCTGGCTGTTGGTGGGAGGTTTTCCTCAGTTTCTTGCCAGGTGGCCCTCTTTCTAGGGGAGCTCACAGCGTGGCCGTAGGGTTCAATCAGCCAACAAGTGAGAGAGCAAGAGAGGTTGAGCAAGATGGAAGCCGGAGTATTTCTGTGACCTGATGCTAAAGTGACCCACTCCCCACCTCCTTTTAAAAGAGCTTTATTGAGATACCATTTATATAACATAACATTTGCTCTTTTAAAGTATAGCAGGTCCTCAAATAACATGGTTTGTTCAACATCATTTCATTACAACATTGATGAGCTGCCATAGGAACTTAACTCTTGTTTATATCAGTTAGCCCAGGGGTCCTCAAACTTTTTAAACAGGGGGCCAGTTCACTGTCCCTCAGATCGTTGGAGGACCGGGCTATAGTTTAAAAAAAAACTATGAACAAATTCCTATGCACACTGCACATATCTTATTTTGAAGTAAAAAAACAAATGTTTTCGGTGGGCCGCATGTGGCCCGCAGGCCGTAGTTTGAGGACCCCTGATAGCCTATGGTAAAATTGGTTTTGCTATATGTCATTTTGCTTGAAGTCATAGAATCTATTGAAGATGTTAAGTGAGGACTCAACTGTATACAGTTCAGTGGTTTTTAGTATATTCACAGAGTTTTGCCACTGTCACCACAGTCAATCTGAGAACATTTCATCATCTCAAAAGAAAACCACACTCCTTAGCAATCACCTCTTTGCCTCCTGCCCTGCAGCCCTCGCCCACACTAATCTAACTCCCATCTCTATAGATTTGCCTGTTCTGGACAGTTCCTGTGAATGAAATCGTACACTATATGGTCTTTCGTGACTGCTTCTTTTAGTATGTTTTCAGAGTTTATTCATGTTTTAGTATGTATCAATCCTTCATTTGTTTATATTTCTGAATAATATTCCATTTGTTGTACCACATTTTGTTTACCCATGCATCAGTTGATAGACATTTGGATTGTTTTCATTCTTCAAGCGATTATGAATAATGAACATTTTTCACAGATTTTTATGTGGACTTAGGTTTCCATTTCACTTGAGTGTAGCCCTCTGTGTGTAGCACTGACAAACTGTTTTCCAGCGCAGCTGCACCATTTACATTTACAGCAACGTGTGAGGGTTCCACTCTCTTCATATTCTCCCAACACGTATTTTCTGCGGGTTTCTTGTTTGCTATTTATAATAGCCATCCTGGTAGATGTGCGATGGCATCTTAACTGTGGTCTCGATTTGCCTTTCCCTAATGACTAGTTATGTGGGGCATTTTCTCATGTGCTTATTGGTCATTAGTGTATCTTCTTTGGAGAAATGTCTGTTCAAATCATTTGTCCATTTTTAATTTTTTTTATTGTTGAGTTGTAGGATTTTGTTACATATTCTAGATATTCTTTTTTTTTCTTTTTTTTTTTTTTTTTTTTAAAATTTTAATTAAATCTTTATTGTTCAGATTATTACATTGGTTCCTCTTTTTTCCCACCATAACTCCCCTCCACCCAGTTCCC